TTTATTTATTAAAACATTTTTATGCCGCCCCATTCGCCGAAGCCTCGGGGCGGCTCACATCATTAAGTTAAAATAATTATAATATAAATTAAAAATATAAATATTAAATTAAAATACAACAATACAGTATAAAATAAGCCGCCCTGGCCAGATAAAACCAATAATGTTAACAGTTAAAATGCCGCTTGAATAAAAAGGTCTTCGCCTGGCGCCGAAAAACAAATATCTGTTCCTTACTTGTGTAATGCATTCATGTTGAGTCTTTTTGTTTATATATCCTTTAACATGTTTACATGTGCTTAATGGCATCATGAAGCAAGTTTTCAGTATTTCCTTGGTGAAAGTTTTCTTCAGGTGATGACTGAAATTCAGCATGTAGATCTGCATGTTCCTTGGTCAAGGCCAGCCAGACAATTAAATTAAGCACTGCCATGTTGCATCAGGGGAAAGTCCACCTAATCTAGTATTTGTGGCCAGCAATAGCTGGTCAGGTCCCTTTGTATGTAGCAAACTTCATCTGTGTGGCTGCAACATATGGTTCTTGGATGGGAGGCATTGCTAATATGCATTTATAAGCAGATCTTCCATGAAACTACTCTAATTTTAAAGCCAGAGGAGCTGCCACCACTGCCGCCACCATCATCATAGAAACATAGAGCAAGTCAGAAGGGGCCTCCGGGCCATCTAGTCCGACCCTCGGCTCCAGCCGGCTCCGCTCACGACATGCCCACCATGTGCGTGTCCAGCCTATCTTTGAACACCCGCACCGATGGGGCCTCAACGACCTCCTGTGGAAGCCCGTTCCACCCCCTCGGGGTCCTAACGGTCAGGAAGGGCTTCCTGGCATCCACCTTGATTCTTGATTCCCTGAACTTTGCTCCGTTGGAGCGCATCCTGCCCTCCTCTGCAGGGGAGAACAGGCCTCTCCCCACCTCCGTGTGACACCCCCTCACATACCTGCATGTCGCCAACAGATCCCCTCTGAGTCTCCCCTTCTCCAGGCTGAAGAGACCCAGTTCCCTCAGTCTCGCCTCATACGGCATCCCCTGCAAACCGGCCACCAACCTTGTGGCCCTGCGCTGCACTGACTCCAACCTGGCTATATCCTTCCTGTAATGAGGGGCCCAGAACTGAGCACAATACTCCAGTTGCGGGCGCACCAGAGTCGTATAGAGTGGTGGTAATACCTCCCTAGATCTGGAAGCCATGCTTCTGGCTATGCAACCAAGGGTGGCGTTCGCCCTCTTGGCCACCGCATCACACTCCTGGCTCATGTTCAGCCTGCAGTCGACCAGCACCCCGAGGTCCCTTTCACAAGTGCTGCTCTCCAGCCACTTGTCCCCTAACCTGTCCTTATGACACCCATTCCTATGCCCCAAGTGCAAGACCTTGCACTTGTCCACGCTGAACACCATCCTGTTGTCTCCTGCCCACTTCCACAGCCTGTCCAGATCCTTTTGGATCTGGAGTACCTGCTCCTCAGTTGTGGCCACTGCTCCAGTTTTAGTGTCGTCTGCAAATTTGATCAGCAGACTGCTCACCCCTTCTTCCATGTCGTTAATGACAAGATTAAACAGGATCGGCCCCAGGACAGAGCCCTGAGGGACCCAGCTTGCCACTGGCCGCCATCCCAATGATTCCCCACTAATGGTTACCTTCTGCTTTCAGTCAGTCAGCCATGCCCTAATCCACCGGACAGTGCTTTGGTGTATCCCAAAACTCCTCCTCCTCCTCCTCATCATCATCATCATCATTTCCATACCACCCATAGCCAAAGCTCTCCAGGATGTTTATCCAATTTGCATCAAAATTCAAAACATGAAGTGTGAAATGGTTCTTGGCCTTGATGCTAAGTGTACAGGCTGAGGTGGAAAATCAAAGAATCAGAGAATAGTAGAGCTGGAAGGGGCCAGGAAGGCCATCGAGTCCAGCCCCCTGCTGTTGCAGGACACCAAGTCACACCACCCCACTCAGAGGGCTGCCCAGTTTCTTTCTGAATGTCAAAATAGTTTTGTGCAACTTAAGATGGGAGGTTAAAACACTCTCAAGTTTAGCAAATATGTTAGTTATGAATGGGAAACCACATGGGAGCCTCCATGTTAACTTTGAGAAGGAGGAGAATCTACAAAAATATTAAGTCTTAATCCTACTTCTCACTCTTATAGCCTTTTGAGGAAGGGGTAGGTTAAATTGTGATCATTTGGCCTAAACAACAGTTTGGCATTTCCCTTAAAAATGGTGGTTCAGATTATTCCTTGTGTGTCTCTGTGCCTGCTGCTTCAGCTGCTCTCCTGACAGCAACCCAAGCATGGTCTGAGAGAAGTGACAGGCTGCGAAGTTGCCGAACAAGCTGCACAGTTGTCTGGATTCGAGCTCTAATATTCCGAGTCCAAGATATGTCTTGTGAGATGCCGGAGGGCAACATGTTCCTTAACCTCATGAAGCCATTCCAGTGCTGTCCCTTAGTGCGAAAGAATCAGGGCTGAATACGAATGATGCTGCAGAGAAGATCCCCTTCCGAACCGGACCTTAGACTGGCGCAGCCCGTCAGTGCGAATTTAGAGGACAGCATCTCTCTATTGTCGTTCCGTCGCACACCTCCGCGTTCATGCTTAGCTCTGCAAAAGCTCTTCATGAATCGGGCAGAGTCGTCGTGCAGCTAATGCAGAACGGGTCCATCCAGCATTTCTATGACTGCTTGTCTGTGCTAGCAGAATGTGTTAATCTAGCCATTGTATTAGCTAAACGCCTCCCAACAGGGGCTAGATTAGCTTGGGGAGCCCACCACCTTTTGTGAGTCTTTTTCTTCTCTTCCGCTCATAACTCTGGCCCAGCTCTTCCTCGTTTGAGCAAACACTGCAGTTTGCCCTGCTTTACTCTTGCGTACACAAAGCAGCGTTTTTAACATCCCTCAGTTGCCTTCCTGAGCAATACTAGTAAGGCAGTAGGGTTCAGATGTCGAAGAGCAGAGGTCGTGGTCAATTGGGATGAAGCTAAATTCTAAGTCCTGGCCTTAGTCCCCAGTAAAACCTTACATCTGAAGACTTTTTGTTTAGTTCCTCCATTGCTACCCTTCCAAGCCTCAGGCTACTTCAGATTCCTTGGCTGCGGTCTCCCTTTGATGACTGAGCCAAGGAGCTTTGGGAAGAACTCCCAGGTTATGGGACCCCCTGCCGAGCTCCCTCTGCTTGCTTTCTCCTGGCAGGCAGAGACCTTCTCACTGAAGTAGGCCTTTGGCATGGCAGGTGGGGGTGCACTCTTTCCGACGTGTGTTCTTAAAGTACCCATTTTCCTGTCTTAACCATGCCTTTGTCGCTTTTACATGACCGTTACCCCTCTATTTTCTTGGTGGAAAGGCAGGGTGTAAATCAGATAAAAATTGGGATTGTTTAGAGAGTTTAATTGTCCAAAGATATAGAAATCGCTTGCTTCTTGCGAGGGAGCTTGCTAGAACCTGTGGTGATTGGGTATATCATGGTAGCCATGATCTCCCATCATGGTAGCCATGATCTCCCGACGGAGCTCGTTCCTGCATATGCAGCGACTCGCAGAAGCTTGTCAAAGTCAATGAGAGGCATCCTCAGGTTTCAGCTGGCGTTGTCAGGATGCCCGGTTCCCTTTCTGCCTCTTGTCCGCTTGAGCCTTTTCCCCTCAGGGCTACAAGGCAGGGGAAATCGTATTCACCCGAAAGAAATAGTGGGAAGACCACCGTATAAAAGAACCATCGTGTGCAGGGGTTGGCTCCTCTCATGGTGGATGGCTATTATCCTGGGAACTGGTGGGGATGCCGGCTCCAAAGGCATCTGTGCTTTCCTTTCAGCAAGGTTACCCCCTTGCCCATTCCCTGGCAGAGCATGGGTGTTGCATGCGCCATGCCACAAGATGCGCACAATCAGGGTTGCACGGATGCTGCGGTTGTGCAGCAGGCGTAGGGAAGATGCATTCAGATCTGTTATTCACATAATGTTTCGTAGTCCTTTCGGCAGCCAGGAGTTTCTCAACACGCAAACGGCCACTGGTGTCTTCGAAGCTAGCAGAAGTGCTCCATCAGGTTTCCCTGGGAGGCTCCACCACCGCCTGTGTCTTTTTCTTCTCTGTGATCAGTAGAAGCAGAAAACCCTCATCTGCATCGTGTTTTGCAAACTTGGAGAGTGCAGGATTAGACTGCAAATTCCAGTTATCTCAGCAAGG